ATTCCCATTTTCTGCACAGTTATTCTCAGTACTGTATACAGTAATTCCTTACCATAACTTAAGGTGGTGATGTGGAAACAAAAATTATTTTTAAAAAGATTTCCAGCCTTAATTTTAATTTTTTGTAAGAAAGAAAATGAACAGAAAACATTAAGAGAAAATGAACAGAAAACATTAGAAAATTTTGTTTCAATTTAGGGGTTTTTTCCCACTGTTCATGATTTGCCTCTTCCTTCTTATTTGAATTTGTTGTCTCGTTGTCTAGCTTTTGGATATTTTCATGCTTTTCCTCTGTTTTGGGTAGCACTGCTACTAATATTACAGAACTGTAATTGTTTAACTAAAGTCATATATTTTTTGTAAATAGTCATAATATTAGATTTTTCTGTTGAAATTTTCTAGTACTTCATTTCATACTAATATGAGATTTTTCTGTTGAAATTTTCTAGTACTTCATAACTTTCAATGCTAACTATTCAGAGGCTACCAAACAACTACTTTGATGTTACTGGAAGTCAGCTGTTTAGATGTTCTTATTTTAAAATATTTAACTTCAGTATCTTCCCAGTGTATTGCTGACAAGCAAAAATATTTCATTTTTATATGGCAAGATTGTATTATTTAACTTTGTCTGCATTCAGAATAAATATTTATACATTGAACACTGCACTACCTCCATCTCACTATTGATGATTTCAGCATTTCTCTTTATAGCTCTATAAAGGATTGCTAGGATTTCTTTGGTTGCAAAGCAAAACATACTTTCCTACATCTTTACCTCTCTGGTAAATGATTTTTCCAACAAAACTTTTCAAGTTCCTTTACCATCTAAATTTCTTCTCCTTTAAGGAAGCAACTCTACTTTTTTCTGTTTCTAAATGCCGGAGCTGCCAGCAGCTTAACATTTTTCTATCGTCTTAATTAATTTACTTTAGTTTTATTTCTGTTCGCTAATTGCACTCTGCCTCTACACTCGAAATGGTTTTTATAACCAACATGGTCCTCAATGACAGTGATGCCTAATAAAATGTTCTTAAGCAACTTCTGATTACTACTTACAATTTCCATTTAAATTTGTCCTCAAGTCTCTTTTGATTGTAATTTTTTTCACCTTTGGAAACTGTCTTTTACGCTTCTGTTTATTCATAACCACATTTTACATGTAGTTCTCTATATAGAAAATATCAAAATTCAAAATGTAAGACAAGCTAAATATAATACTTACACATACAATAATGAAGTCAAGCCAACACCAGGCATTTGTGAAATAACTGTGCAAACCATAAGCTACCCATTTCAGAAGCATCTCCATAAAAAAGATGTAGGTAAATATTTAATCAGCATACTCTAGGAGGATTTTCACTGTTTTTCTCTCCTGCAGGTGAATATCTTCAAATGCCTGGAATTTCAGAATTCAGTTTTAAAACAGTTCAGTAGTTTTATGGAAAATTATTTTAAAACTGCACAATAATACACAGTTTGGCTTATTATAACCTTTTCATATTAAATTATGGGCAATGACCACTTAGTTTTATACTTAGAAGTAAAAGCCTAAATTGTAAAATAAGCATAATCTCATTTTCAGGTTGGTTGAAAACCCACATACTTTCAGTTGTTTACACTCAACACTTCTTCAAAAAATATCTGATGAGGGTCAATTGTGGCTACAAAAATCTTGGCTTCCCAAGTTAGTGGATAATTTTGAAGTTGTTGGTCTAAAATTCTTCATAACAAAGCTTGAATTAAACACATTAACCACTGTCTTTCAGAAGTAGACCTTCCAAAGGAGTCATCTTTAGTCAGCCTGCAGAGTTGTAATACAGATATGAAAAAATATGACAAACGCCTTATCTGGAACTGTTCATTCCTGGCGATTCACATTTTTTCACCTAAACCTTGACATGATGTTGATGTCAGTAAGGGTTTAGGAAAATGTTTTCTTGATTGCTGTAGTTTATGTCATTGTTCGCTCGTGTTTAATATATTTGCTGCCTTGCTAATTTAAGTTTTTGATATTGCCAATCTATTCCCAATTCCTTTTAACACCTTGCATTATTTCCTCACCAAGCCTCTGGCAATGTCTTTATTCTTCCTTTCATCCATTTCTCCCCGACCTTATAGCTCCATCTCCACTTCATTTCTCTCTTGCTGCCAATATTTCTAATGATCTATCCATCCATTTTCACCACCATTATTTTCCCCTTACAAATCCATGTCTGTCATTACTTTTACTTAAAAGTTTTCTTACTTATGTAGATATATCACAAGCCACCCTGTACCATACGCTTTCCCACACCCTACGATTCCTAGATATAAATTACTCAATCTCTTCTTGTCTCTTTCTCTTTCACACTCTGTCTTAAGAGCTCAACATGTCTCTAGAGCACATCAGGCATTTAACAACTTCCCTTTCTCTTATCCTCATTCAAATCTGTGTCCCCTTCTCTGACATTGCCTCTGCAGTTGCTGACTTTCTGTTTTCTTTCTTGCCATGACATGAGTAAAAAAGTTGAAATGAGAAGTTTGAAAGTCTCTCCTCTCAAGAGGAATACACCATCTCACATCCTTGGGATGTCGGAACACAGTATCTTTATTCTATGAAAGAGCAAATGAAGCGTAGAGAGATCAATTCATTTGCCCAAAGTCACATGGCTGTAGTCTGTGACAAAGGTCAGGAACCAAACAGAGGGTGTCAAAACTTTAATCCATATCCAGTGTCAATCTACATCAGCTCTTCACTTAACAGCTCCTTACCTGACTGTGAAATCTCTTATTCTGTTATTATTTTTTAATAAGTTCATTAACAGTCAACACCCTCTAAGGAAATAGCAGGCTGTGTCACATGGGAGACTGACCCAGATGGTCCACAGGCCTTTGGTTCAGGGGAGCATGGTAGCAAAGACACCTCAACGGGTTTTGCAAGAATTAGCTCAGCTACAGCGGGCCTTAACAGTTATAAGTTATCACCAGTCACATTAAACCATTAAATGTTTCTTGCAGAAACACCTGCGTGCCTCTGCTATGTGTCTCCAGTACTCTGGGAGATGATGATTATTTAGGTATTATAGCAGACCTGATTTGCTCCCCTCTATTTATGACATGCTAAACCCGCTCTAAAAGGCCACTGATAAGAGGGAGCAGGAGCATAACCAGGTGTTTAGATCAAGTGAGACCTGAAACTCATGTAAAATCATTGCTGTGTTTCCGTTTTATATTCCCACTGAAAAAAACATGGGGCAGAGATGCTCCTATGTATAGTTACCAACAATCTGGTAAAACTTATGCACTCCTGCTCCGCAGTGTAAGAAAACAGTAATACTGTTTCTGGAGCTAAGTGGTCTTTGAAGCAATGGTCATTCAGTTGTGCTACAAGTAGGAGAAATGTCTACAGAGCAGAGCTGTCCCTGTGTCCACAGGACTAGCAATTTGACTGTGGGTAATTGAGAACTCCCGGCATTCATGTACATAAATCTATTTACCATTTCCTACCTTTTTTCTGAGCAAGTTTGATAATTAGCATCGTCTTTTTCACTGTTTAACCTTGGCTACCTTGATTTCCATCTACTAGTCAAATCACCTGTTCTCTACCATTCAAACTTCTAACTACTAACTCTTCCTTTGCTCTGAGCACTCACCACGTGCTTTTCTATGCATTCTTTCTATGATCACCATCTCATTTAATTTACTTTCAAAGCCATGGACATGCCTGACAGTATGGTATCCCTTCATTCTAGCTGGTTCAGGAAATTCCATATCAGCAAACATCTTTATAAACAAACAGAAAACAGACAAGTCCCTTTTTGCAAGAGGACAACAGTATCTTAGAAATGTGAAAGTTCTCAACACCACAATACATCTTTGATAAAAAGAAATCGTTATTGTTTTGTTATTTTGCATCTGGATACCAACTAGTTTTGTGTTCAACTTAGCCAGATCCTACAGTACATTAAATAATAACTCAGTTTCCTTCCTTACTTCAGTTTGGTTCCCCATGAGTACAGAGGAGCCCTCATGGGAATCCCAGGGAATTCCTTGGAGATTTTGCCACGGAAATTTTAAAGCAGACAGTTCAAATCTATGGTTCAGTGGACAACCTAAACTTAATGCACACGGAACAGATTTTATTTGGAAAATTCTGACATGTACAATATAGATCACTTTCACACTAGTTGGTTATGTTCCTTCTGCACTATGTAATGTTTTATTTAGTAAAATACTTTCAGTAGACTTAGTGAATATGTTTTCAAATCAAATAAAACTTCCCTTATTTTTCAGTAGAAATGGATATAATCAGAGTAGCAATGAAACATTAAGTCACCTACCAGTTTACAGCCACTTTTAGATTCTGATCATCTTAACGTTTGGATGATTTTAAATCTAAGTTTTTACTGAGCAATTAGTCTGCTTTGCAAATTTAGAAGTACTTTTATTTTTTTCAGTTTTCCTAAGTCATTTCAGACCCTGGTTTAGCCCCCTAATTAAGCACACAAGTGTGTGAAGAATTATGTTCCATGAAGAACTATGAAGAAGACTACGATTCCATATATTTAAATATCTTATCCAAGCTGGGGAGGGCCTTATAACTTCTAAGGGATACATTTATTATATTCCTGTCTCTCCCTGGGGGAAGGAATGTGAGAGTCGAAGAAATAAATTAAATATAATAATATGATTCTTTTCCTTTACTGACAACCATCAATTCAAAATTTGAGAAATTAAATTAAATTTACCAGTGCTGCGCTGCTCAATATTATCATAAAAATTATAAAATTTTCAAACCAGCTATGTTTAACTATTCTGTAGCAGGTTTTTCTAAATTTCCACCAAGTTCTGCCTGGAAACTTAGTGATATCCACTACACAACACGGGAAACATTCAACACAACCTGAAAAGAGAAAGAACAGCATATTGGTTCCACCGAAAATGTGGAGACATGGAATCTAAAAAGTGTAAGACATCTTAAAATGAGCTTCTACAGACTATACAAAGAATGTGCTGTTTTACCTATGGGGTGATGCTGTGGCTGAAATGATCTAAAGCTAAAGAAAAGACAAAATAATCTCTTTTAATAGAGCAACGCATACATGGAAAAAGCAAAGAAGCTTTTGTGCCCACAAGCCCTTCTGCAGAAAAAAAGCCATTACTTCCATCTAAAAAACTTGCTTATTTTATTTTCTGCATTTATTCTTTTTGTTTTGAACAGAGATATTACCTTACCAGTGGTTTAGTAAATTATTATTTCTACTGATTTTTTCACTTGATTGCACTGCAGAGACATTACAACTAGATTCTCTGTTCACTGTTTTGCACCAGAAACACACTTCGTCATTAATCTGTAAAGGCAGTAGGACTGAACCATGAGAGTCAAGGAGCCGTTCAGGCAATCACATAGGTGTCCACATTGGGATGAGCTGTACAGTCCTCTGAATTCCATTAGCTGTATTGACCGGATATTCATCCACTGTATTGGGAACTCAGACAAATTCAGCTGAAGTGCCATTTAAGATACCAGGTACCAACATACCTATCCTAACTGACCTCCAGCTGTCCCTTCAGAAGTGCTTTGAGTGCCTTTGCTTATATACAGATACCTACAGTCTGGTGCCTCAATATAAGAATGAATCACACCCCAAAGATGGCATTTTGCTACCTAAACACAGGTGTTTAGAACCATTTCAGGCCTCTCTGGATATTCTACAGCTTCTGTGACAGTTCTGTCAGCTTCATGCAGTTGTCTTGCACACTCTCAGGCATCTCATACGGTACTAAATGCCTGTGTTCAGGCATCCCAACCCTACTCCAGTTCTGTGCTGCCTTCAGGTGTATTTATTTGAGTTTTTATGTTTATAAACAAGTGTCTCAGGCAAACAGTTTCTGCCAATTTGGAAATGTTCCAAACTGATATCTTTGAATACCAGTTCATTTGGTATCATCGCAATACATAAAAGATTCTTACTTTCTGCAAAACAGTCCTTAGGCAGGTGCGACGTTTTAGGCTGGGAAAACATCTCCAGAAGAATAACTGGGTCCACAGTGCTGGCTTCAGAATAGCTACCAGCATCACATTTCTGCACGGGAGAAGGGCAAAGAGAATTTATTTGCTTTTCATTAATAAGGTTACCAGATTTAAAATAAATTAAACTTATCACCCCCCCCAAAAAAAAAAATCTGCAGCGTATAAATTATCTTAATGTTGCTGAGCTACCAAAATAAAATTACAAATAATAGGACAGAAAAGACTAATCCCTACTCTTTGCTTCCATGGCTTTAATTTAATAAGTTTCTTGGTTTCTTCTAGTCATCTACATTGGACTTGCAGGAAGGAAAATGTTTAGAAGAGATTAAATTATGCTACAACTTAACTTTAGAGAAAACTCTGATTTCTTCATGCCTATCCAATTCTTTTCTCATTTTCAGAGATACAAACCATGTCTCAAAAGGCTTGAAAACAGGAAGGCCTAGCAGGAAAGAAATGTACATATGGTCTACGCATCTCAAGGAATTGTAGTTACTGGTAGGTAACCTACACACCTACAAAACTAAAGACAATAAGGAAAACAAGTATAAAGAAAAAGGCATAAAGCAATCTATCAGCCATAAAGTGTAAGTGCCCTGTATGACATGGAAAGGGAAGGCACGAGGATAGGGATAAGAATGAGAAGCCAGAAGGGAGAACTGTCTCCGTTGACAGCCATGCTGCTCTACACCAACTGAAGGTCCTAGGGAATCTTCAGCATAGACAAAAATGCAATTATTTAAATTCATGGGAAATGTAATAGTTTTAATATTATTTTTTTATATAAATGTAATTAAATAATGTATAACAGACAAAACTTCTGGCAACTTTATCTAAAACCAGAAAATGCTAAAGTGGTTTGACTTTTGGAGGGAGTAATCCAGAAAGTTGCTGAACTTCCATTTAATTTTCTGGGTCATTGGAGGCAAGCCATGATTCTTTACCTTTTTTGATGTGGAACTGTACTGTATTAGAATAAGCTAAGTTTCTAGACCAGAAAAAGTACGGTTGTTTTGGGAACCGTTTCTAGAGAATACATTTTTGCATCCAAGGATGACAGCAAACAGAATTATCTGTAAAAATGAATAGTATGTATCAGATATGTTTAAAGGAAGTGTGTTTCTTGATTAATTTGTTTACTTATTTTGTACAAAATAATATATTGTTACACTGTTAGCCATGGCTGTTTATGAGAGACAAACCTCCATGCTTTAAACTATTATTACCTCTAGAGAGATATACCATCTTCACAGGGATTATACTTGCTACTCTTTGGAAAACTGCAGCTTGTCCTGTCATTGCTGAATGAGAGAACCGCTGTGAAAATTTTTATGTCTAGCATATTCCACAAGATGATAGAAGTTATAATTACCTCTTTTTGCTCTTTTTTTTGGTGTGTTTCTGAAAAACCACTTATAGTTTCAGAAGTCCCAGAAATCTGACTGAAGCTGCTTGAACTCTGGCGCCGCTCTCTATGTCTTAATCTGTCTCCCTGCATGAAATAATGCAAAACAGTTGATTTTCCACATGTTTCTTCCTGACAGTCATTCTTAAAAGTAAAAATTCTTTAACAGAATCTAAAGCATCCACAAAATTTAGCATGTTTGTCTTTTTACAGATAATTAAATGCCATCCCACAAAATTTAGCATGTTTGTCTTTTTACAGATAATTATATGACTAAAAGGCATGTAAAAGAATGGTTTCTTCTTCAATTTCAAATACTGTGGTCCAGTGGCTATACTGTGGAAATGTATCATTCCTCAAGATCTACATTTAGCCCACTGATGGATTCCTGCATCCAATTCACTAAGTTCTAATGAACTGGCTCAGCAGCAACCTTTGCAGCTGGACCCCAACAGTCTCATGTTTCTAGTTCCAGGCAGAAGAGCTAAGTGAATGGTTTCTTCTTCAATTTCAAATACTGTGGTCCAGTGGCTATACTGTGGAAATGTATCATTCCTCAAGATCTACATTTAGCCCACTGATGGATTCCTGCATCCAATTCACTAAGTTCTAATGAACTGGCTCAGCAGCAACCTTTGCAGCTGGACCCCAACAGTCTCATGTTTCTAGTTCCAGGCAGAAGAGCTAAGTGATCCCAACCAGCTCTCGGTCCTTTTGCCACTACAAATTTCAAGCAATACCAGATTCCACTGCAGAGGGAAAAGAATTTCTGCCATCAAATGCTTATGGACAACGTATTTCAAATAGCCACAGATGATTCTAAAGTGATCAGCAATTTCTGCTTCTTTGAGAACTTGTCCAAAGATATTCCACTGACGATGCCTCCTCTTATGACCAAAAACATAGAAAATGGATCCTACCAGTCCGCCTAGACACTGACCATGTGATAATCCATCCAAAAATAGCACCTGCTTTTGACATTTCTGCTGTGGCATAATACTAAGTAACTGCACTTTGAGCCCAAATACCTGTTCTGATTGATTTCAAATATGGTGATATCACAATAACAACACAACTGACACTCATAAAATACAATCTTTACCAAGCTAATCTAGGTACAGTATAGTCATCAAAGCCTGGTGTTCCACCTGAGCTTGCTGTTCACACATTTAGATGTGTTTTTTAGATGAGCTAAACCCCATATTACCACACGTTTACACCATCACTTTTACCTATGAAGAAAAAAAGCACAGTTGCAACATCTTAGAAAAGCTCATTCCTACTTGAATGTGGTAGCTGGAGAAATAAGCAGAAATTAATAAAAAGACTTAAATGAAAATCCTAAGCTACTTTCTGTAAGAGGCTTTCTATCTTGCTTTATGTGAAGAACCTGCAAAACAGCTCATTCTGCTGTTGTATGAGCCAGCTTCTATTGGTACTTCCTTTACTATGGGTCTGAGAAGGGTTAATATTTTTTTTGTTCACCTTCTGACAAAAGATTGCAGGGAAGGTATATCGGAGTCTGCTGCTTCTTATTACTACTGCCTGTGAATAGGGCAGGCTTCTAAAAGAAATTCACTTGAGGGCCTTGTGTGCTGAGCTGAGCTGAAACTACTACTGGATGTTTTGTACACAGCTGCGGTACTGTCAGTGGGCTAAAAGGTATCACCCTTACCTTCTATAGGCAAAAATAATTATACGGGAATAAGAATTTCAGAGGATGACCCAATGATTCTGAACTAAAATGCATTCATGCAGATAGATCATCATACTCAAACCCAGCATTCATATCCTTCTAAGCAATCACATCACGTATAATAAAAGTAACGATGCTGTCACAAACAGAATTTCATTAAGACACATCACCCTCCTCAAAGGAAAGTAATCGGGTAAAATTCCATTTTATTAAAAGTATAACACATCGTTCGAGAGAAGAAAAGAAAGCAAAAAAAGGAAAAAAAAAAATTAAGAAAGCAAAATGGGAGAAAACATGAAGTGCAAAAGTGGGCAACATACAAGCGATACAGACATGCAGCAAGGGACACTACGTAATGCAGTGAGGACACAAAGGGTTTAATTCCATTGCTTGCCCTAAACTGGTTAGTGTCTTTTAAGATACCCAGTGGTACCTAAGACATACACATGGCATAGTTAAATACAGCACAGGATCCACAGGAACTGACAGACACCTTTTTGGAGGTGCATTTAGAAGCCGTATGAGATAATCCAGCACCTCAAATGGCACTTGACATCTATGAGGTAAGTAGTATGTGGAATCTTGAGACTCAGATATCTAAATGGAGTAACCTAATTGTGGCTGATACCTAATGTCATCTGAGGTGTTTCTACATACCCCTGGCTTCCAGGTGCCAAAAAGAGTTCCTATAGCTCCTCCATCTTATTTGTCAGTCCCATGTGGACGTGACAGACACCTGAAGTATCTCAAATATCCCTAAATACCTATGTACAGGCAAATGAATTGCACCGTTATTGACTATCATGGCAGTATAAATGCCTCACTCACATGCAGAAATCTGTATTTAGGTATCTGTATTTAAGTGCCTAAGACTTGAGCTTAATCCTGCCCAACACAACAAAATCAGGAGATATAAAGGGGAGTCCAAAGTATCACAGAGGTGAATAGGGGATTAAAAAAACATTAAGAAATTATTTTTTTTAGGTGAAGCTTTTATTCGCATTCCCTTTGGATTCCATGCACTGAGAAGCAACATATAAGCAACACAAGAGGCCTGCCTTCCAAAAATTCCAGGTGCCATCTGTAAGGCAAAGGATACAAAAAGAAAGAATGCCTGTCTTGATCAAACTTCATTTAAGTAACTGACAGCAATAAATGGAAACAAAACAGACAGAAGCAGAGTTACGGCTATCAATGAGGAGAATGATGAAAAAGTGGATATTCAATGTCTTACTGAATATCTAAGACTATTTGGCAGCTCTTGCATTTTGAAGCTACTAGAAGAACAAAGAAAGTAAAATGGCAGAAATGACAGAAGCGATAACAACTTATTGTTGATTCTTCGAGATTATATTTACAGATGTGAGTTACAATAATTTTTCCAATATTCATATTCCTTACCTGTTTTCTGTATTCTATTCCTGTGCATACACTGTGGTCATCATCACCTTCATCGCTGTAAGTCTCTGCTACTGCAATGGGAACACAGGTACTATGACTGGTTAAAAATTCTTCGTATTTCCTTGTTATTGAGGAACTCTCTTCAGTATTGTAATACCCAATGTCAAAGCAACTGTTGTGTATATCCTTTCTGACATCTGTCATGGCATAGTTATTTTCCTCTATGTCTTTGGCAGAAATTGTCAACAACGTCTTCTTTTTGGCTGTTGTTTTGAGGCTTCGTTTCATTATTTTGCCACAATGATCCAAAATTTGTTTTTTCACAGACTGCAGGCCCTTGTGAATCCGTGCAATGGCAATCTGACATTTAGTAATTTGTCCAGTTTCCTCTTGTCCCATTGAGGAGTCAGTATTGAATGAACTCAGCAGCAAGGCAATGAATAGGTTGAGCACCTTAAAATAGTTAAAGTAAGTTGGAGACACTACTGCTAACAGAAAAGACATTTCAGAAAACCCTCCTTAGATAAAAAAAATCTCAATCTCGCTTTCATCAACCACTGCAATGAAATTATTTACTATTAAACTGGAATATTAATATAGTATGATATGGCTCCTTCTGGAAAGAAAGGCAGGAGAAAAAGAAAGGAAGTGAGAGTTTGGGTGTATCAAATATATTTTCACATGCTTTGATGTTCATAATGTATGAAGAGGTAGAGATGTTGAAAAACAGCTGGCAAAGATAAATTTTAATACCACCGCCGTCAAAAAGGATCTGGTATAGACCAATAAACTAAGCAGATGAAAAAGATTTTGTCTTCCAGTATATATATATTAGATCTAGTATAAGACACACAAACAAAATCTGGGCACTGTAAACTTTTGATAATACAAGGATAAGTTGGTAAGCATTAAAAGCACTAAACAGTTTAGTTATTTGATCCTAGCAACGCAAAAGATGAAGAAATTAGACACCAAATTATCAAAAGCACTGCACTTCTATACTCTGGGTAGAAGGAATAATTTTGTGTATTTTGCTTAACAGCTACCTCTTGTGTGAGAAAGAGAAAGACAGGGGAAAAGGAAAAAAAGACAAAAGAAAATACATATATTAAGTAACATCCAGAAAAGAGAATAATGTGAATACTCTTTAAATGATAAAGTTTGCCTCAGAAAAGAAAATGCCAGTGTAACTGGATGCATTCAGTAGGGACTGAAAAATAGCTTGAAACTCACCACCAGGTTTCCTATCACCAGGACTAGCAAGAAAATGGGAAGACATAGCCCTTTTCCAGCCACTTCCATACATTCCCACATGGTTTCAATCCATTCTCCACATAATATTCGGAATATAATCAGGAATGAATGACAAAAATCCTTCATATGCCAGCGCAAATTCTCATCGATGTTTATTTTAGAGTAATTTTTCTCATAATAATTGCCCAAAACCTGCCTTCCTACTACAGCAAAAATAAATACAGTGATAATCAAAACCAGAGTGAGGTTACCCAGAGCACCAACTGAGTTCAGAATTATTTTCATAAGAGTATTTAAGGCTGGCCAGGACTTTGCCAATTTGAAGATCCTGAGCTGTAAGTAAAACACAAGAGAAGAATGTGAGTGGCAAACACTGCAGATATAGCACAGCACACATAAAAAACAGACCCTGAATTTATCATGCTGTCTTTACTTCAGTAACACCATCATAATTTTTCCCCCAAAGAAAGGTTTTTAATGGTTCCAATCCAAAAGCACTTTGCTTAAGCTCAGATGGTTAATGTTACTGAGAACAGAGAACTGCCAAAGGAAGCTGCAAATTGTTTGTGCTGTTAGATACGAGCATGTGTAAGTCTATTAGTATTAATAGCAATAACAATAACAGTAGTAATAATCAAGTGGCTTATAGGTACTTGGACGAGGCTTATGAAATGACTGCATTTTGGACTAAATCAAATGTTATCAGACAAAAACTGAAAAAAGAATTTTTTCTACCTCTCGTCCAACAGACTTAAAAGATCTGAAAAGCCAGATGGGATCTATTCTATACACCCTCATGAGTAAAAAGGACATTTTTAGTCAAATTAGCATTCAGGGCTGTTAAAATCTCTCAGTCATGATACACAAGATGAAACAGAATTCAACTGAATTTCTAGGTGCGATGACTCTGAAAAGCTACGAAGAATTTTAGAAGTAATTAGTAAATTTAGCATTCTAAATACACAGTAAGGATGTAAGCAAAAAAGTAACATTATACATAGACATCTCAGAGCTGCTACTCCTCCTTTTCCCTAAGATGGAGGAAGGCCTTGAGGAGACCTCAAGGCCAAGTCTAAGCCTTGAGGAAAGCTATGTTATTTTACAAATCTCAACTCAAAAGGAAAAGCTGTGAAGGAACCTTTGCTATCCTTAAGCTCATGAAAACACTCAGATAATATCTTTTCCTAATTGAAGATCTGAAACGTAGTTAAGCAGCGCCACTGTACAGACCTAACAGGGAACCAGTGAACTCTCTGCTAGGTCAAATCTCCAAGGGGGCACACTGTGCCAGAGGATTTGTAGTATCCAATATACACAGTATAATAAACATATTGAATGTATTCTTTAACATTCATTTAATATTTGCTCTAATTAAACATTCATGTTGGCTTACGATGTACTAACAAAGAGAACTGATTTAACAGATTCATCAGTAATATAATTTGAGGGTATTTCACTGTAATATTTTACAAATCTATACAACACATGTACTTTTAAAAAACAGTAAAGAAAATAATTACCAGCCTGAATGATGACAGATTTTCTTTAAAGCTTATTAGGCCAATCATAACAACTATGCTATCAAAAATATTCCATTTTTGCTGAAAATAGTTGTAAGGATCTAGAGCGATGATTTTTAAGATCATTTCTGCTGTAAAAATCAGGGTGAAGATCTGGAAAGAGGAAAAAGAAATTCAGCAAAAAGTCACTGAAAAAGTATGTCTCCTTATGGGACTGTCCCGGTATAAATATGGGGTTATAACTCCATATTCACTCTAACATAGACCTAACTTACCTTGTCACTTATAAAAATCATTTGTTGGTAATTGTATGGCATGTCAGGGTGCTCCAGAGCCATGAATAAGGTATTCACGATAATGCAAACCATGATTAAGAGATCAACAAATGGATCCAAAATTACCAATTTCACCTTCTCTTTGACTCCTCTCCAGAATGGACAACAATTCCAAATTAGATACTTTTGAGCAAAATGTTTCAATATTAAAGAGCATTTCAGTTTTGACTCTTGCAGTTCTAAATGACAAAAAGGGAAAGAAACATACAAATAATCTTATGTGGAATTTCACAGTATGAAGAAAAAGACTATCAGTCATAGAAAGGACTGAAAAGAAAAATCAATCTCGTGAGCAGAATGGCATCATTGAAAAATATTGTTTCACTCATTCTACAAAAACTAATCACAAGCTATTTAAAGGTCACCATCAACAAATCTCATAATTATAGAAACAGGTGATATTACCGACCTCTTCATATGTTTATTACACTACTGAAGGATGATAAAGGATCTACATCAAGGAGAAATAACCTCACTGTCTCTGGAAAAACTGACAACTTGTTTTCTCTGAGTTGCATCTGCGCAGACACAGATGCAGCATGGGTTGAAAAAAAGTCCAGGATAAAATGAAGAAGGGTGTGCCCCATATCTCGGTGTCCATAGTTGAGGGTAGGGTTATGAGATAAGTCAACTTGGAAGGGACCTCAGGAGATCTCTAGTGCAATCTCCTTCTGAAAGCAGGGTCAGCCATGAAGTCAGAGACTGCATAACCTGTTCCTCTGTCTGACTGTCCTCATGGTAAAAACTTCTCCTTACACACAGTTTGAAGCTCTCTTCTTTCAGTTTATGTCTGTTGTCTCATCTTCCCACAGTGCACCACTGTGAAGGGCCTGGCTCCATCTTCTTGATAAGGTCTTCCTACACACTGGAAGGCTGATATTAACTTCCCCTCAAAACCTTCTCTCCAGGCTGAACCAGCCCAGCAGTGGGCAAGTGCTCCTGCCCCTGACTTGGTGGCCCTCTGCTGAACTCAATGTGTTTCTTGTACTGGGGAGCTTGGGGGGCAAACTGGGCATAGTATGTGGTCTATCAAGTGCTTAACAAAGGGGGTTAACCACTTTTCTCCTGGCTATGCTCCTTTAATATAGTCCAGGATACTGTTAGCCATCGCTGCTGCAGGGGCCTGTTGCCGGCTCACGCTCAGCTCACTGCCCACAAGGACCCACAGGGCCTTTCCTGCAGAGCTGCTTCCCAGCCAGCCAGCCAGTTCCCAGCCTGTATTGCTGCAAGAGGTTCTTCCAGATATGCAGAAGTTTACATTTGTTCTGGTTGAATTTTCATGAGGTTCCTGTTGGCCCATTCCTCCAGCCTAAGTCCCTCTAGCTGGCAGCTCTTACCTCCAGTGTAGCAAGTGGCTCCCCCCCAATTCTGTGTCATCTGCAAAATTTAAGAGCAAGCCCTCTGTTGCATCCTCCAGGTCACTTAGGACAAGACGTGTCCTAGGATACACCCTGTGGTACTCCACTTGTTTCCTGCCTCCAGGTGGATTACGACCTGTTCACCAGACACTTGAAGCCCAAACACCCAACCATTTTTTTTGTCCAGCTGGTTGTCCACCCTTGCAGACCCAACACCCTAACTTGGATGAAAAAATACCGTGGGAGACAGTGTTGAAAGCCTTGCTAAAGTCAAAGTAAATTAAAACATTGCTATCCCCCCAATCCACAAACCCCAGTCATTTTATTGTACAGGGCAATCAAGCTGGTCAGGTATGATTTACCCTTGGTTATTGCAAGTTACAGTTGCAGTTACGTGAGATATGAGAACACTTATTTTACTGAAATTTACATATGATTGCTGCATAGTTTCCCCTAGTGACTTTTAAAATAATGCTGACTGTTTGTGACATTTTGATCTCTTAGGTCAAGTTACACAATCACCATAGGAAAAACACTAAAGAATGACTTACGCAAATTATCTGTAATAACAGTGGCCGCACTCATTAACCTCTGTCTTCGAAAAGGATCATTAATAGAGTCCACTGACAATTCATAGGACAGCAGTACCTGCCTCTTTGGTTAGAAAGACAACAGAAGATAATATAACAAGGGAATATGAAGAAATGGCAATACAAAAACTATGTCCAGCTTAAGATAAATACGCCTTTTTAAATACACATTGTAATGAAGCCTTACCTTGCTGAAAGAATGTAAACCAAAACCATACAACAGTATCATGTGTTTACCTTTGAAGGCAAAGGACATTTCACAGAATAGACATACAAAATGAATTTATAATACAGTGCTAAAGTGTTCATTTTTCTATCTGTATTTTTTCAGAATATAAAAGACTCAATTAGACTATTCTAATCACATCCCAGTTACCAGTGCAACTTGTCCTTTCAGTCCTTTCTATGTTTGGTGTCTCAGAGGAAAGAAACCTAGAAAAATTTGTGTGCCAGCCTGACTAAAGTCCTCAGTCTTCTTGTTGAAATTCACGTCTGTTCAGAAGCATTCAGAGTTAGTGTTTTTAGAAAGGTTAAGAGTATTCATCAACACTGAACCAGTTACTGCTGCTCATCTATCTTTAGCTGAAGTAAATAACTGGTGATGAGAAGTCCTCTGACAAACTGAGATTTAAAATAGGGATACGCACTAGAGAAATAGTCCAATTCAAGGTTTTATAGAACTGATTATGTCCTACCAAAAAGTGTCTCTCTCACACGCTTTTTTCTCTTTGACTTAGCATCTTTAGCCTCTTTTTGTGATTAAAGTAGAGAGTACATTGTTTGAAGAGTCCTCAGTTGCAGCAGAGCTAGTACTACCAGTAGTTGCCATAACATGAAACAAACTGCTATGTTTGTTGCAGATGATATTTATTTGACTAAGGTAGAACTCTACATTGGAGCAGCTCACACTGCTTGGATCATGCTCTAGGCCCTCCTTTTTTTTTTTTTTTAACTATGAAATAACAACATTTGTTGGACAAAGTGAGAACTGTGATGTAGGGGAGTGAGAGGAAGGGAATGTACAGGTCGACTATGCATCTTGAAGAACCACCGTGATTGACAAATAGCTTCTCCTGCTGTCAAATGATCATCTGTAAGTATGTGTAAGACAGCATAAGACTACAACCAGGTTCTCACACAGTCACAATTACCTGGAGCTGGGTCTTGGAATTCTTCACGTAGATAGTGTAGAGGCATCCGTTAGCAAGCACAGCAATGTAGTTTAAACTCTGCAGAATATACTCTCGAAAAGTGGGTTCCACTTAACATTTCTCGTACCAGGTTCTAATGCAATCTACTATCTGTTTCCAAAAGTTCCTATACAGAGATATTCATAACTTTGCCATTCTCTGCACATAGAGAGGGGAAGGGACCTGGGGAAGGGTCTGAAAATGTTATTTCTGAAATGTAAAAATACAGATTGCTTTTGGCATCCAACCTGTGCAGATTTTGCAGCCTTGGAGAAGTAAAGTCTAGGAACTAAACCAAATTTATGTCCTGGCTCAGTCATCTCCTGCAACACAGTCACAGACTTAGAAGAAAAAAATTAAATAGGGATAATCAGCCATAAGAGGTGTTTTTTACACTTATAGAAGATATGACACCTGCTATGGAAAGACTTGGGTTTTTTTCTCCTCAGTAGGTATAATAATACACTAGCATGGACTGTGACAAAGTGTTCCCTTTAAGTACAGCAGAACCAAATTAGGTCACAAAATGGCATAATATTCTTAACACAGCAGGGGAAACGTTAATGACACTCTATAAGAAGCAAATACTATACTAAAGGAGATGACAGATGGCAGCTGCTACCAAGTGGATGATTTTGAGTCCTTCAGCTCAGACACAGAATTTAATATAGCTAGGATGACAGAATTTAGAAGAAATTCTGACCATGCTGACTGCCAGAATGAAAACCTAATCCATTTTAGCTAGGATGACATGTCTAATAAAAACTCCCCTACAAGGACACTTTTCGGAAGGAAAGAAGTTGGGCCGTTATTCCTTTAGCTCTGCTACTGGAAAGTTTCCATTTTCTATGAGATGGGTGGGAACAATTCTGATGTTCTCCCAGAAGCAAGAAAGAATCTGCCAAGAGATGGAACAGACTATCATGGGGGCAGA